TTTTTCTATGAGCATATCACACCATAAGGATTTCTGATGTGACTAAAAATGCTACCACCATTTTGTAAGTAGACTTGTATTCATTATCCTCAACCTCTTGATACCCAGTCCCCCATCCTTAATGGAAGCACAAACCTTATCCCACCTTAAAAGCTTCTTCTTTTTTCTCTCTCCCACTTCCCCCGAAAGAAAGACTCACATTATATCTCCTAACCATTTTGCCACTTCTTTTGGCATTCGAATGATAGACATAAAGTAAATTGGTAAATTAGATAAAGTTGATTTTATCAAAGCGGTTCTTTCCCCAAAAGATAATAATTTGGATTTCCATAAATCTATTTTCTTATCAAACCCTTTAACAATTAGATCCTAAATCGATCTTGAAGCATTTCTAGCAACCAGGGGAATTCTAAAATATTTACTAGGCTACTTACTGACCTCACATCCAATAATACCCAATTGTCTCAACTTGTTTTCCTCATAGCCAATTCCAATAAGAGCCGTTTTGCCCAAGTTAACATTCAATCCCATAGCTAACTCCATGCATTTTAGGAATACCCATAAAGACCTAAACTCCATGCATTTTAGGAATACCCATAAAGACCTAAACTCCCTCTCTTCAAGGTTGCAAAAAATAATGGTATTTTCAGCGTATTGAAGATGTGAAATCTTCAACCCATTGTTACCAATATTAATTCCATTAATTAAACCTTTATCCACTGACTTTTTGACATTTTCTCATCTTTTTTTAGAAAATTTCAAAAATACCTTTGGGTATAAATAGACTTTTTAAAATCCATTTTTTTCATTAATTTTCAAGTTCATTTGGATGCGCTTTATTTAATCATACTTTAAATATATATTTTATATTTTATTAAATTTATTTTTGTGTTATTATTCTGTTTAACACTTTTTTGATTGCTCGGGACTTGCCTGGCTAGGCCGGTTGGCTAGGCCGGTTAAACTGCTTCTAGACCCATATTCGATTAACTGATCTGGTTCGATTTTTCGTACACTGATCCACACCACCATGGGCTTTAAGGTTCTCTTGGAGACATATTTTGGGTATTTGTATTGAGTTGGAGATTTCATTTAAACATGGCTAATGATTTGGCAGAGGGGTTAGCTAAGAGAGGTATCCTTCAACTAACGCTTGTTATATATGATGTTGTGAACTTTATGATGTATTTTTTATGGAAAAACTTTATATAAGTGTGAGGCTCTAAATAACTAAATTAGGGCGCACTAAAAAATTTAACTAGAAAAGGTTTATTTTGATCCCCAAATATTCTCAAATTGATCATCTCGACCTCAAGATGTATGGATACGAGAAAAAAATGGATTTCAAGTTTTGGAAATAATGCATTTTGGACCATCAAATTTCAAAATTTTCAAGTTTTCGTAGATTTGCTTGATCTACACTATTTTTGAAGCTTTAAATTTTATTATTAAAGATGAAAATTACTTTTAAAATCAATCACAATCAAAATAGTTGTTTTTTAAAAAAAAAAAAAAAAATCCCAAGAATCTTATAAGAAAATGGCATGATGCAAGAAATCTTTGGTCTATCAACTGGGAAATGGGGCTCTTATTTGAACGAGATATTCTCCAAAAAAGGGTATTGTTAATAATCCCATTGGTATCGAAACCATTTAAAAGATACCCAATAACTTATTAGGTATTGTACAAAGTATTTGAAATATAGGACAAAAGTACCATTCGGGTAATATTTCTAAAAGAGTTGCAAAGGGATCTATTGGTTCACCAATCATTAAAGGTTCTAGAACATCTAGACCCATGTTACATGCAATAGTACCTAAAATTACCACTGGAAAGATTTATAAAAAAGAATTAGGCCATGCGAGTTCTCTGTAATAATTATGTCCCATCCTTTTAACCAATTTAGCTCTCAATACAAGATCATTCATGCCAGGCTTCTTTGTTATTGAGATATTTTAAGGCTATCACAAAGATTTCTAGTATTGAAACCATATTTCTTGACACTAGTTGAAAGTACGTTTTACTTTGATTGTTTAGAGCCTCGGCCTTATCCAAACCTCACCCAATTTTTATTAGTGTTTATCAATAAAATCAAGTAACATTTGTCAAAAAAAAAATATTCATTCGCATATTTCAAAAATTGTTGGCAGGGGACATTGATGTAGACAAGGAAGAGGAATAAAATAGAAGCCAAAAGATATTCTTCTCACGCATGAGTGGAATCTCTATTTACTCCCTCAGGTAGAACCCCCCCTAGAATTAATTCTAGGACCTTAAATTTAGGGGACGTAACATCTTCAACCATATATTAACCTCAATAATAATAATAATAAATTCCTAATTGTGCCCTTTATGCACATGAAAGAAATAATGTCTTGAGATCGAATAAAGGCCATCTAAATTTCAGATGGTGAAATCTAAGTGTGAAAAAACTCAAATTTCAATTATTTTTTAAGAATAATCATCTAGTAATTGTTATATAGTTATCAAAATTTTAGATTGAAAAATCTTCCAAGTAGGTCTTCTGACCGAGGGTGTATAGGCAAATTATGCTTATGAGGGAGCATGGTATATGAGTTCAAAGTAGAAGGTTGGGCCAAGGGGAGAGCTGCCATCCACCATGAAGGGAAGTTTTTTTTGGGAGAGGGAAAGAGTGACTACACTTTCAAGTGGTGATCGCTTTAAGGCTGACATGGTAAGTGAGCAGGTCCCTAGGGTGTTCAAGAGAGTTTTTTATTTTTTGATTTTTGATAAGGTTGGATCAATGTTTATTGAGAGGTTAATTGAACATGGGCGATGTGCAAGGGCGTTGAGCTAATGATTATTAATGTTGGATTGGGCCGACATGCGTGGTTAGAAGTTTCTTGTTTTGGTCAGTCTTATGGAAACTGAAAATCGAGTGTACTTCGTAAATACTTGACCAATTTTAGCTTAATTAATGCTTGACCGATCTTAGTTTGAACAAAACTAGGCAACTGAAGATATTTCACATTTTTGTTCTTGTCATTTTTTTTTAAAATCTTGTTCAATCAATTCAACTGACGAGTGGATCAATTTTGATTGGACAATATCCTCAGTTGAACTGAACCAGTTTTGATTGGATTGGTTTTCATATTTGAACGTTTCCATAAGAGAATGCCATACATCAACTCCCTCAAGAAAATAGCCATTTGGGAGATTCTTTATTCCAAATTTTGGGATTTCAAAGAAAATAATTTAAAATTTGAGTTTTTGATTATCTAGATCTTTCCTTCAAAAAATTGGATTGTTCTTTTACAATAGTGGAATGTCATCTTTTTAGAAAAAAAAAGAAAATGGCTATTTAGGAGTTTTTTTTCTTTATTCAAAATTTTGGGATTTTTCTAATTTATCACTAGATGAATATTCAAATGGAAAGAATTTAGATTTTGAATTCTTGAATATCTAGGTCGTTATGAAAAAAACTTGGATGCTTTTTGTGCAATATTGGGATGCCATTTTTTTTCATGCACATAGAGAGTAGAGTTAATTCCGTTTTCATTGACGGTAGTCGGGTTCCGGAGATTGTACCTCCGAAATTTGGGATGTGCAAGGGAGTAGATGGACAGCATACTCCCAAAGGTTGGAGATGTTTTGGCTTTATATTTTGGAACACTTTAGCGTGAAACTACAAATTTACCTAAAACGCTATAATTTACCATATTATTACACAACGGTTATATGAAATTATTGCCCTTATTAAGAAAAAAAAAGAAAAAGGGCAAGCTTTCTATGCTTCCTCTACAACATAAAACTCATATTCTTCCCCTTATCCAACCGTCCATTTTGAATGGAGGGCTCATATTGTCCCAATCACAATATCCTATCTCTTCATTATTTTATTTTTAATTTTTTTTTTATGAACTTTTGACACCAAAATTTTTACATCCAATCCTCTATTAAACTCGCACTAGCAAAAAATATTAAACAAATATTTCCTAAAAAAAAAACCAAAATATCCTTGAATTTTTTAAGGGGTATTTTGATCATTATATTTTATCAAAAAATATTTTTAATATTTTTTATAGGTGTACCATAATGAGAAGATGGCATGTACCAAATTTCATATTCATAGAAAAATAAAATACTTTAAGACATCGGATCTAAAATCAAACGATGAGTGGTTCTTTTGATCAAAATTGGACGGTTGGATGGTAGGGGAAGCATAGATCTTCTGTGCTGTAGGGGAAGTATAGAAACATTTCCAAAGAAAAACAGATGAGTTTTCTATAATCTCAAAATCGATTTTTATATTTAATTCTAAAATTTTAAACTCCAAAAATTATTAAAATTAAATAGATCTATAAATATATGAAAATCTTGAAAATAGGTTGTGTGTTGCAAGATGCACTATTTTTAGGACTTAAAATATTATTTTTTATATAAATACATCCTGTTGTCGAGATGATCAATTAGAGGGCTTTTCTACATAAAAACAACTATTTCCGATGGATTTCTTAGATGCATTTGTAATTCTACATTTTAAGGTTGCAATCTTATATAAATTTTTACCTTATATGAGGCCTACCTTTTATAAAAAAAAATTAAATCATTACCTCAAATCGTCATTCATAAGGCACCTTTTAGCAACAAAATATTAAAGATGGGCCTAAAATCAATTTCGGATATCAACCAAGCTTTGGATCAGCCTAACTTGCCAGTAAGGGATGAAAGTGATGGATCTCTTCTTGGATATTGGAACGTGCTCGAGAAAAGCCCAATCATGATAGATAAAATGCTTGGGTGGTGATCAAAGTTAGAGTATTTTGAAAAAATAAAATAAAATGAAAAATGGTGCAAATGGGTATGAATGTAATATTTCTTTCTTATATTCTAGAGGTGTGGTTGCATTAACCGTTGCAGTACATCATTGCTCTTTTAGCAATTATGGTCCGATTTCGAGGGCGTTGCCGACTATCTCTGAATTCAATGAAAAGATCAGGGGCAAAATAGTCATGATTTATTGTCTATATAGACTGCTCCATAGCTCTAACGGTCGAACCATGGCCTCACAGCTGCTTCCCGCGACTCCAGGAACTCATTATCCACTTCCTCTTTCATCAAATCTCCATGGAGTTCGTTTAGCCAAGCTCTCTTTCTCTCATCCACTTTATTTCTCATCAAATCTCCATGGAATTTCCACTCCAAGACTCCAATTCATCCTCTCTAGTTTCAGAGCTTCAATGCCCGTAATTCGTCATAACCTGGAAGGAGAGAGGAATGGCATGAAGTTTGAGATTAGGTGCCAGAGAACTCAGGGAGAAGTTTCTGACATAGAAGATGTTTCTTCTAATGGGGAATCGAGTTGGGGGAAGGTTTCGGCTGTTCTATTTGACATGGATGGAGTCCTTTGCAACAGTGAGGAGCTTTCAAGGCAAGCAGCTGTGGATGTTTTTGCAGAGATGGGTGTGGAAGTCACGGTTAATGACTTTGTGCCATTCATGGGAACGGGTGAGACGCTTATCCATTTCCTAATTGAACACACAAGCTCTCCCCCCCCCCCTCCCCTCTCTCTCTCTCTGCATCTTCATAGTTCTTTAAGAAATCGATTTGGGATATCTGTTTCCAAATTTTTGGCTGATTGGTGTAATTCCAAGTTGTATTGCTCTCTCTCTCTCCCTATTCTGGAATGTGGGCTTATGGCTTTTCCTTTTTTAATATAATGATATGATATTGAGCACTTCTGGTTTGAGATTCAGTCTTGTTCTCCATTGTCTTTGAATTTGGCAAAACATGCAGCTGAAACAAATCTAGGCTAGATTGGATGCTCTCTTTCTTATGCATCATTCTAAACCTCTCAATTCTCACCACCAGTTCTCTGAGTCACTCGCCTCCCTGAGTTGGATGCAGAGGGGGATCTAAAAAATTTCAAAAAATTTCAAAAAATTTCTGAAATTTTTTTTCAAAATGCTGGACTGTTTTATAATCTTTTTGTATATGATTTATATGTATTTGGCAAATATTTATGAGTTTTTTTGCAACAATCAGTATTTTTATATTTTCCTCTTTTTTGGATTTTTTAAAATGTCCCAAACTGTAAATCAGTTTTTTTAAATCCATTTTTCCTTAGATTTTTCAGCGTATTTTAACTTTTTAAAGTCCTTTTAGGTTTCAATTTACTTTTACTACATGTTTCTTACTTTTAAATTGTTTTGCTTTCTTCAATATCGCAAAAACTATAAAAAGAAGCGAAAGAAATATACTTTTCAATTTTTTTCTTTTCCTTTTTTTGTATTTTTGTTGTTTTAGGGCCAAAAGGCCCTGTGTGGACACTGAGGATTCGGCGGTGTAATTCCCTCGGCCAGGTGGCGAATCTTCTGGCCGAGGCGAGTATGGGCACACTGCTTCCAATCATAAGTTCAATCTCCAATCATTCATGGGGTCTTGACAATGGGCTATTATGTGATTTAGGTGGACCACAAGTGTTCTGACTAGTGGATACTCTCTATTCAGTTAAGTAGTTTATGTCATTGGATTCCAGCAAAATTCATGCCTCTTTTTTTATTTCACTCTTTCAGTGTTAACATAGGCCTTGGTGTTGAATGGAACTCTAGACGTCATGTTGTGTTACCCGCCACCCTGACGTGCTTGGAGCTTGCGCTTTCGATGTTATCTTTGGAACTTCTCTAGGACGTGGGATCTCGTTGTTTTGAAAGGATAAATAAGGCTTCAAAAACAAGACTAGAGCGTCTAAGTTACAACTTACAACTACATTCTATCAGATATGGCCATGAGATTCATAAATATCACCAAACCTATTGCCTCCTTATATATGAAATCACAAATTGTAATATGCGGGTCTTTTTATTTGGCTGGTTTGTCCTGGTTTACATGATATTGGTGCATCATGGTTCTGGCATACTTCTAGTCTTAACTTTTGAGACAAATTACATGATTTTTGTTGTCTGTACCTATAATAGGCGAAGCCAATTTTCTTGGTGGCGTGGCTTCTGTGAAAGGAATTGAAGGCTTTAATCCTGAGGCTGCAAAGAGGCGGTTCTTTGATATCTACCTTGACAAGGTAGTGCTTCTCAACACTTTGAACCTTTTTAATTCAGAAAATGATTATACGACAGTTATGTCTTGTATTGTATTATTTTATTTTAGATCATGGGTTTTATTGGAAAACTACGCATTTGTTATATTTCTGCAGTATGCAAAGCCAGATTCTGGAATTGGATTTCCAGGTGCATTGGAGCTTGTCATGCAGGTGAATGTGTAATTCGTTAAATCTTTCTCAGATTGGGCCCTTTTTTTTATTCTGTTTATGTGCCTAAGCATGGGACTTTCATTGCTGGCATGGTGTTCATTCCAATGATAAATATATATCAGTGTAAGAAGGAAGGTCTCAAAGTTGCTGTGGCATCAAGTGCGGACCGGATCAAGGTTGATGCAAATTTAGCCGCTGCGGGTTTGCCATCCTCAATGTAAGCTAATGCTGCTTTTTACTATACTCTAGGGCTTGGGCATCTTCATTCGGTGAGCCTGTCTTTGTTCAGTTTTTCCTTTTCTTTTTCTCTTTTTAACTTTTTGTTGCATGATATTCTTGACCTGACACTGGAGATTTCTCTTGATGGCCTAATAACAACTTTAGGCCTCTACTTGATGTTGACGTGTGCTAGTTCCAGAAATACTCGCTGTCATTGCTTGCATGTGCTATGCTAATTCAAGATAGATTTAGATTTGAATCAACATAAGTCCCACAATTTGAAATTGGAAGTACTTAAAAGTTCAAATTGAAGAAAACATGCCACCTCTTTGTTGCAATGCACAATTGGATATTCCATCTATATCTTGTTATGTTGCTGATTAAAATTTGAAAATGTGAACTACATATGGTGACATTCAAAAACCAAAAAGAAACATATATGGTAAAGAAATATAATAGGAACATGCCTTCTTGAATCCTAACTTAAATGACAAAAAATTGGATTTGTTCACATATATATTGACGGATACAATTCACATCTTCTTGACTCTTTAAGTGGCAAACATTTTGCTCACATGCAGGTCATCACACTGTAGACTGACATACAAGTCTTTTGACTCTCTCTAATAATAATTCAATTGTAGTTCTTCTAAGAGGTATAGGTCTACTCTTGGTCACCTGAACTGACATTCTTTGGATTCAATGGTTGCTAAATGAAAATTTTAGTCCCCCATTCCCTTACGTTTATATGTGTCTCTTTGCAGTGCTTCTACTGAGTCCTGTTCTGTGCCACTGAATGAACATAGTTAAATAGCACACTTCTGTTCCCGTTATGTTCATTGAGAACATATGAAGTTATATTGGTTTATAAGTTTTAAATTTGAGCGTGTATTCTGGTACCTCAGAAGTCAAGCCCCTCAAACACGTTCTGTGGTTACCTTCTATCTTGTGAATTCAATAGGTCCATTTTCTTAACTTCTGTTGACATGCAGGTGCAAGCTGTTTCATAAAAATCAAGTGCTACACACTAAAAAGGTCTGGCTATGTAAAATTTCACGGATAAATTCAATAATTCCTTTATTAATATATGGAATTTCTACTTTCAAGTGCCACAATACAATGTACAAATAGAAAACAAACCTACTACGATATGGGATCTTTGATTTTTACTGCCAAACAAAACTATGTTTATAATACTGAATGCAAACTTTCATTATGAATTTAAATACAATCAGGAATTCTAATCTAAGTAGACCTTAGTCCAAGTAGGAATCCTACTCCAAATAGGACTCATAGTTCAAATAGGATTTCTAAAACAAATATGAATCATCATCATCATCTGAGCCTTCCTAACTACTTGGGGTTGGCTAAAATGCTTTTGGGAATGGAGGGTGGGATGTTTTGTAACTTTGTTGAGGCATCTGCCCCCTTAACCACTGATTCCCCAACCCCATTGCCAACCCTATTCTCAATTAGGACTTCTAAAACAAATATGAATTAAAAACTTAAAAGAAAATAGATAAATGATATTGGGAAGACTTTCTGAACCTTTGCCTAGAGTTTCCTCCTTATGACCTAGCACATTCACACATGATTACCAAATCGATGACGCACTCTAGTCCTTTGGTCCTACTGAATCCTTAGAGTTGGGAAGCACCTCTGGAATACCCTCTAATAGATCTATGAGGCTAAGGGCATGGAACAAAACTGGGTTTCTTTCAGCCCTTAAAGTTTGGGTCATGCCACAAAGGCACTTACCCTGACCTCAAGACAAGAAATGGGCTGGGTGTTGTACCTGCGAACTTGGCTGGCTTGGGTGGTGCGAGCCACTCATTATGGCCCTCCCTTACTTGCCACGAGAGAGAGGAGAGAGTGAACTAAAGTCGGACATGGAGGAGAGAGAGAGAGGAGAGAGCTTTGGTCACAGGTGATGGGAGTGAGGGGAGGAGCCCTCTTTATGTAGGCCTCAATGGCCCTAGGATATTCCAATCTCAATTAGGTTTTAGTTTGAGCAAAAGATTTCCTGATCTGTGAGGTGGAAAAAACAAATAAGAAATATCACTCCCTTAATTCAACCATCATGTTTTAGAGTTAGGAACCTTATTCCCTGAGTCTTTCACCGATATTTTCTTCTAGTCAACTTAGGATAAGATTAGTCAAAACTCATCTTCTATTTTGACTAGAATTTCTTCTCTCTCAAAGACATTGTACAAATTTAAAGCCAAAAAGACATGGTCAATTTTCAAATTCAATTCTCTCTTGCAAAAAATTTACCACATAATGGGAGACCTTCCTGTAAACTATTCTCGCAAAAGCTTTTCCAAAGATTTTCCAAGATATCTTATAAACAAAGTCCATGAAATTTTATAAATAAGTGGTGCGTCCCACCTTTGTGGGGCGTGTGGCTCATGTGGACCACACGTCACAACCCATGTTGTCCCTCCACATGTGGGGGCTGGGTCCCTAGGCCCCACAAGGGTCCCACCTTGCCCCTACTAATTTCTAAAATATCATCTATGCCATGCCCGTTTTAAGGTTTTTGAACCATAAAAGTTTTTGAAAAGTATTTAAAAATATTTCTGAATAAATTTTTTATGGTACAACAATTGTTAGGAGGTGCAAGTTAATCAAGCGGAAGGCTACAAAAAGACAAATGGTTGGCCTAAAAGGACATGGTTGGAAGTGAGAAAAGATATGGGGACTTATATCCTCACTAAGGATATGACCCTTGATAGAGCTGAATCGTAGATCAAGATTTGTGTAGCTGGCCCCAAATAGTTGGGAAAATGGCTCTGATGATGATTATGATGATGGACATAAATGAATTTGAAACAAATATATTTGAAGTTCTTAAAAAATTCTAAAACACTTAGAAATATCTCTAGAAGTCGATTGGTGGGTCAAACGTTACTGCATGTGCTATGTTAATTCAAGATAGATTCAGATTTGAATCAACATAAGTCCTGCAATTTGAAATTGGAAGTACTTAAAAGTTCAAATTGAAGTAAACATGCCACCTCTTTGTTGCAATGCACAATTGGATATTCCATCTATATCTTGTTATGTAGCTGATTAAAATTTGAAAATGTGAACTACATATGGTGACATTCAAAAACCAAAAAGAAACATATATGGTAAAGAAATATAATAGGAACATGCCTTCTTGAATCCTAACGTAAATGACAAAAATTTGGAACATTTGTTCACATATATATTGACATGTACAATTCACATCTTCTTGACTCTTTAAGCGGCAAACATTTTGCTCACATGCAGGTCATCCCACTGTAGACTAACATACAAGTCTTCTGACTCTCTCTAATAATAACTCAATTGTAGTTCTTCTAAGAGGTATAGGTCGACTCTTGGTCACCTGAACTGACATTCTTTGGAATCAATGGTTGCTAAATGAAAATTTTAGTTCCCCATTCCCTTGCGTTTATATTTGTCTCTTTGCAGTGCTTCTACTGAATACTGTTCTGTGCCAATGAATGAATAGAGTTAAATAGCACACTACTGTTCCCGTTATATTCATTGAGAACCTATGAAGTGATATTGGTTTATGAATTTTAAATTTGAGCGTGTATTCTGGTACCTCAGAAGTCAAGCCCCTCAAACACGTACTGTGGTTACCTTCTATTGTGAATGCAATAGGATTATTTTGTTTACTTCTGTTGACATGAAAAATCAAGTGCTATATTGCAAGGAAAGTTAATCCCTTTTGGCTTTCATAGCTTCAAAGCACAAGACTTCTGTGGCACTTATAGGCCACACTAAAAAGGTGTGGCTATGTAGAATTTCACGGATAAATTCAATAATTCCTTTATTAATATATGGAATTTCTACTTTCAAGTGCCACAATACAATGTACAAATAGAAAACAAACCTACTACGATTTGGGATCTTTGAGTTTTACTGCCAAACAAAACTACGTTTATAATACTGAATGCAAACTTTCATTATGACTTTAAATACAATCTGGAATTCTAATCTAAGTAGGCCTTAGTCCGAGTAGGAATCCTAATCCAAATAGGACACATCGTTCAAATAGGATTTCTAAAACAAATATGAATCATCATCATCATCTGAGCCTTCCTAACTACTTGGGTTTGGCTAAAATGCTTTTGGGAATGGAGGTTGGGATGTTTTGTAACTTTGTTGAGGCATCTGCCCCCTTAACCACTGATTCCCCAACCCCATTGCCAACCCTATTCTCAATTAGGACTTCTAAAACAAATATGAATTAAAAACTTTTAAGAAAATAGATAAATGAAATTGGGAAGACTTTTTGAACCTTTGCTTAGAGTTTCCTCCTTATGACTTGGCACATTCACAATGATTACCAAATCGATGACGCACTCTAGTCCTTTGGTCCTATTGAATCCTCAGAGTTGGGAAGCACCTCTGAAATACCCTCTAATAGATCTATGGGGCTGAGGGCATGGAACAAAACTGGGTTTCTTTTAGCCCTTAAAGTTTGGGTCATGCCACAAAGGCACTTACCCTGACCTCAAGACAAGAAATGGGCTGGATGTTGTATCTGCGAACTTGGCTGGCTTGGGTGGTGCGAGCCACTCATTATGGCCCTCCCTTACTTGCCTCGAGAGAGAGAGAGGCGAGGGTGAACTAAAGAGGGGCATGGAGGAGAGAGAGACTGGAGAGAGCTTTGGTCACAGGTGATGGGAGTGAGGGGAGGAGCCCTCTTTATGTAGGCCTTAATGGCCCTAGGATATTCCAATCTCAATTAGGATTTAGTTTGACCAAAAGATTTCCTGGCTGTGAGGTGAGAAAAAACAAATCAGAGATATCACTCCCTTAAATCAACCATCATGATTTAGAGTTAGGAACCTTATTCCCCGAGTCTTTCACCCATATTTGCTTCTAGTCAATTTAGGATAAGACTAGTCAAAACTCATCTTCTTTTGGGACTAGAATTTCTTCTCTCTCAAAGACATTGTACAAATTCAAAGCCAAAAAGACATGGTCAATTTTCAAATTCAAATCTCTCTTGTAAAAAATTTACCACATAATGGGAGACCTTCCCATAAACTATTCTTGCAAAAGCTTTTCCAAGATATATTATAAACAAAGTCCATGAAATTTTGTAAATAAGTGGTGCGTCCCACCTTTGTGGGGCGTCTGGCCCATGTGGACTACACATCACAACATGTTGTCCCTCCTCATGTGGGGGCTGGCCCCTAAGCCCCTACTAATTTCTAAAATATCATCTATGCCATGCCCTTTTTACAGTTTTCGAACCATAAAAGTTTTTGAAAAGTATTTAAAAATACTTCTGAATGAATTTTTTATGGTACAACAATTGTTAGGAGGTGCGAGTTATTAAGGCGGAAGGCTAAAAAAAGACAAATGGTTGGTCTTAAAGGACATGGTTGGAAGTAGTGAGAAAAGATATGGGGACTTATAACCTCACTAAGGATATGGCCCTTGATAGAGCTGAATGGCAGATCAAGATTCGTGTAGCTGACCCCAAATAGTTGGGAAAAAGGCTCTGATGATGATTCTGATGATGGACATAAATGAATTTGAAACAAATATATTTGAAGTTCTTAAAAAATTCTAAAACACTTAGAAATACCTTTAGAAGTCGATTGGTACCAATGGGTCAAAAGTTACTGTCAAGGCATTCCCCCCGTGCCAAAAAATGTGATCTACAACTATCTTCTCAAACCAACCCAACAGGACCCATGGCCCAGTCATGTGCAGGGACTTATGATTGGCCTGTCAAACCTCGCCAATAAATAGTAGAACTAAGGTCTTTTTATGTGGATTATATGTTCCCCTTTAAGAGCAAGTCACATGCGCATCACTGTAGTGCAAGGGAGACTTTCTCTATGCGTATGACTTGTATCCCTTGCTTCTCGGAATGCAGCTGTCATATGTACATGTTGTGCGGAAGTATGTTGAAGATTTGATCGTTGCTCTTATAATGCTACAACTACACACAGGAGATCATTGAGCTCTTCTGGCCCACAAAACCTCGCCCCTGGGCATCTCTTTGACTTCAAAAGGGATGACACTCCTATGCTTATGCCTAGGGGGGAAAAAAGGATTTTAGACATGACCCGGTTCATAGACTGACCAACCCGACTAAGTCAGCCAACCAACATACGTTCCCACCGAGGTGCACAAATAACTATATTTATTATCTTTGCATGCTCTCACGAGCTGGGAGCCATGCATGTTTGACGAAGAAGAAATATCTTTCTTGATATTGACTGAATCATAATATCTCCCATTAGGAATACAAAAGTGTGTAACAAACAGAAGGGAAACAAATGCTCTTAAGAAAACAAGAAGGAAAAAGAAATGGCTATATATAATGTGGAGCAGCCGACGTGACTTGAACACTTCATTGTTTTATTAAAGCCAAACATTATATGCTTCCATGGGAGCACATCATGACATATCTTAGAGTATGTTTATGATTCCAAATTTTGAGGATGTAACCTCCCAACCTAGGTACCAACCTCAACAAATAAAAAATGGTTGTAAACACTCGACCTTTTCTTGAAGAAAGGATGTCCTAAAATTGAAAGGAGACCGTCCGAATTTTGGGCTGCCAGATTTGTGTTTAGAAACTCAAAACCCATTTTTTTATTTTGAAAATACTCATTTGATGATTATAAAGTGGATCCCAAAATTTAAATTTGAGATAATTCTCTTAAGTAAGTGTACATTGTGCTTTAGCAGGAATACACTATTTTTGCTCTTAATTAGAATTCCAAGACGCTCCAAGTGGATCCCCTTTAAAGGGCACGTAATGTGCGAATCAAATGGTGGACCCTTATGAACCATGCGAAACATAGTTGCTGGGAGCAGGAGTGGAAGTGAGCATTCCAACTGCAGCTTTACCAGCAAGTCGCCTTGGAGCACCCCTAGAATTTAAGTACATATAATAACATATAGAAGTGTTTGAACTCGGTCCGGCCACTGAACTTAGCCCTTGGCTGGGCTGAGTTACATGGTCTAGGCCTAGTTGACCAGCAGGCCCTGCAGAAAACAAAACTTGACAAATGTGTATTGAAGTGCACAAGGAGAATGTCTAGAAGAGTCATATGTGTGGATCTATATATTTCACATTTGAACAGGTGGTTCACAACCCTTTATGGAAGGGGAACACGGTCTCATGGGAAAGGGAATTCCGTTCCCACATTGGTCCCACCTTGAAACCACTGGATCAAGGTTCCTGAGCAAGACCACGTTCTATGTGCAGCTGCCCCTGTAATATGATATGATGTCTTGTGGAAACAAATAATTCTGTAGGCCATTTTAGAAGTCTTGTGGATGGCTTTGTACCAGTTCTCATGATTGACCACATGTATACATAGTGAGGTCCTTGTCTAAATATTACAAAAGGTTCACATTTATGTGATTTTGTGAGAGATGGTAGTTCAAGGCTTCAAGCATGCAGGAAGAATTTAAGTCAGAATAAGAATATTGGAGGAAAATTTATCACATTAGGAAATATTGGCTTGAATTTGAATGGATGCTATTTAATAAAATTATGTTTCATTTCCTTTGTTCTTTCTGAAGGCTGAGTAGTTTGTTCTTTTGATTGACAATTTAATATAATTTTATGTTTCTTAACTTTACCATGAACTTGTTCACCTGTTCAATTTCAGGTTTGATGCGATTGTCTCAGCAGATTCGTTTGAAAATTTGAAACCAGCTCCGGATATTTTTTTGGCAGCATCGAATAATTTGAATGTTTCCCCTACTGAGGCAAGTACAAAGGTTCCCTGAGACTGTTCCTTGTTGTTGACTGTGGTAGTAGGTACTCATTGCAAGAGGGCACTTGATCCTGTTAGTGAGCATGGATTCCTTATTGCTTAATGTGCTCATTTATATATTTTTTAAGGTTACTGTTGTCAGTAATTTTCTTATTTACAAATTCATATAACTTCCTTCTAGGATCAACCTTGTAATCTTACATTCCAATTTCTCTTTTTTTTCTTTAATGGAACTAATTTCTTACCCATCATTATGTTTAATATAAATTGTGTCAAGAGCTTTATTAGACATGAGTGTAGATGTTTTTAACTAGCAATTGGTTTTTACCAATGGTACTATTAAATAACAATATGGGTTGAAATTTGTAGTGGCCATTATCTTGCTTTTAGAAACCCAAGGTCTATTTGTGCATCTTTTAGGTTGCTATTACCTTTGGCTTTGGCTTCTAGTTGAAAAAAGCTCGTAGGTGTCTTTGTATTAGGCTCTATGATAGATGTCTAAACCTCCATCTTAATGTGACGTGATTAATCATGTGCTGGATTTCTTTTATTTGCAGGAGAAATAAGTTTTCTTTGTTTACTTGATAAATAAGCAAAATGTGTTTAAGCTTTTATCTAGAAGCATTAATAAGACAGAGACTCGAGGGGTGCATATAGTGGTCTCTGTAGTACTATAATCATCTAAGTTGACATTAGTCTCATTTGCATATTTGATCTAGTCGCATACCACAATCGATGAGTTGCATGAACTCAAATGCTATATTTTGACTTCAAAGGAACCTAGTCTCATTTGTATATTTGTGCTAGTCGCATACCACAATCGATGAGTTGCATGAACTCAAATGCTATATTTTGACTTCAAAGGAACCTAGTCTCATTTGTATATTTGTGCTAGTCGCATACCACAATCGATGAGTTGCATGAACTCAAATGCTATATTTTGACTTCAAAGTAGGGTTCCTTTAAATAGTTTACATCACAGGGTGTGCATCTTACATTGCACAATTAGGGGCTAGATTTGGATCGTTTTTAAACCTATGTAATCTTCACAGGATGTTGTTAAGGCTAAGTTCCTCCTCAAGGCTTCCCTTGCCTTGAATATATAATAAACAGGTCTTTAAGTCTTTGAAGAATCATGAAACCAAGTATTGAGATCCATGAATGAGAGTTTTGCTCTTTTTGCTCCCCTCAAGCTTAGGTAAGTAGTTGAATGGGTTTACAAATGGGGGAAGTTGTTAATCAAGAGAGATGCCTGATATTTTAAATGGAAAGATAAATAAGAACAATGGAATAAGAAAAATGTCAATATTGTCCATAACAAAATGGCCAATTAGGCCTCATGCACCTCTCATATATTCTTTTTATATTAATGGAATAAGAAAAATGTCAATACTGCCCATATGAACTAGAAATAGGACACGTATGTCCTAATAACTTAAATGGAAGAGAAATAAAAACAATTTGACTTTTACCACTCCCAGGCAAATTGGAGAATAAGTGTATTCCCCAACTTGGAACAACTTGTTTGGATCAGATTACGACCAAGGGCTTTGGAGAATATGTTTGCCAACTGACCCTTAGATTTCACAAACAAAGTAGACACTTGTTTACTATTAACTTTCTCCCACATAATGTGACTGTCTACTTCAATATACTTGATTCTTTCATGAAATATTATATCGCTGGCTATATAGGTGGGAGATTTATTATCACGATACATCTTCTTAGGCCCAACAATTGTAAACTCCATCTCCAGCATACGTCTTCATAGGCCCAACAATAGTAAACTAAACTCCATCTCCTGCATCAGTGTCTTCAGCCACATCAATTCGCATGTAGCATGTGCCACTTCCTATATTTACCACCTGCACTAGATCTAGCCACAACATTTGTTTCTTAACTCACCATGAAATTATATTACCATCAATATATATACAATAGCTAGTGGTAGACCGCCTGTTTGATGGAGAACCTGCCTATAATCAACATCTAAGTGACTCCCAATAGTCACATGATTATTTTGCCTGTAAATCAGTCCTCAACCTGGAGCTCCCTTCAGACACCACAAAATTCTATAAATCCTAGTGAGGAATCCTGGGAGAGTGCATAAACCGACTTGTTACACCTAATGCAAAAGCAATATGAGGCTTAGTAATTGTTTGATAAATCAACTTACCTGCCAGTCTTTTGTACCTTCCTGGATCCTCAATATGAATCAATAATTTTGTGTTTAATTCCATACTACTGGTTTAGCCCCTAATAGTCTAGTTTCTGTCAACAAATCTGTCACATTCTTTCTTTGAGGCAAGCTAATGCTATGGTTTGATATGACTACTTCAATTCCTAGAAAATACCTTAGCCAAATCCTTTGTCCATATGCCACAACTATCTCACTAAATTTCTCAACCCAAGAACATGGGGACTGCTTATACCATGTCGCTTATTTCAACTTACAGACCTTGTCTGACTCCCCCTAAGCAAAAAACCCAGGTGGTTGCTCCTTGTGCACCTCTCAAAAATCACCATGGAGGAAGGTATTCTTCGCATCGAGCTGCCACAGTAGCCAGCTCTCGTTTGCTCTTATAGATATAATTATTTTGATTGAATTAAGTTGAGCAACATGAGCAAAAGTTTCTGAGTAATTAATGCCAAAGGTTTGGAACCTGTTTGGTAGCTTGCTTAGACCACAATTTGGGCCTTTTCGAAATTTCACCACTCTCAAAATGGATGTTAACTTGTTTGATTTCTACAAATAGTAATATCTTCTCACTGCCAAATAACCCCAAAATGCTAAGCAAAGCAAATCCTTTCTGACTCATTTTATAAAAAGTTTTGTTTGCGAAGCTCATGCAAAATTGGAGAAGCTCTCTCTCTAACCCCCCCCCGCCCCCCCCCTCCTCCTCTTGAGAAAAGAGGTGTGCTTCTCATTCCTCACCCCTGCTAAATCTTTCTCTTTCTTTCCACTTCCTTTGTTGCTCCTTACCCCTTGTTGCATCTCTCTCTCTTTCTCTCTCTCTTTTCTCTCTCTCTCTTTCTCTCTCTCTCTCTTTCTCTCACTTTAACCTGCTGCAACTTTCTCTCTCACCTTACCCACTGCTGCAACTCCCCCCCACCCACTTGTAGTAACCCTCTCTCTCTCTGTCTCTCTCTCTCTTTATCTCTCTCTCTCTCGTGTTACTCTACTGCAAAAGTCTCCCTCTATGTTAAAATTGTTAAAGTGTATTTTCTAAAAAGTATATTAGTTTTTATGTTATTTTATCATGAGTGATGTAGTAAGGTTGCACTTATAAATTTGTGTAGTAGGAGTGTAAAACTATTCGGTGGTTAGTAGTTATTGTTGCAAGTGGGTAGTTATTGTAGGAAATATGGTTGTAAAAACCTCTATTTAAAGAGAGGTGGTGAGAAACTTGGGTCACATGTTTTAAGGTTAATCTTGGGTGTCAAGATTGTGATACCTTTGTGTACCCTTGGGTCACATGTATTAAGGTTAATCTTGGGTGTCAAGATTGTAATGCCTTTGTGTAACCCATGTTTTTGTTTAATGAATGTTTTCCTTCCACCTCGTCTTGGTTGTTCTGCTTCTTTCTATTTGGTTGTGAGTCTTGGGCTAGTGTGGCATTGTTACTCTATTTGAAAAGTAGATTGTTCCGGTGTTTTGGCGTCCATCTTTCTCTACATGGTTTCAGAGCCACAAGGGTGGTGGTGATGTGGTCTTGACTCCCTTGGTGAAGAAGATTGATTTTTTCTTAAGATGAATTCGGGTAGGAGGATGAATGGCTTTAGCATTGAGTTGCTCAACCAATCAAACTACAAGATATGGAGGTCATGTATGGAGTCTTACCTTGTTGATGAAGACTTATGGGAAGTTGTTGGTGGAAATGATAAGGATGCTTCTACACCGAAAACTGATGCATTAAAAAAATAGAGGGCAAATGCAAAGGCTGAGTCCATCTTGAAGATATCTATTTCTCATAATCTATTTGATCATATTGTGTACTGCAAATTGGCTTGTGGTATTTGGACTACTCTTGATGGGTTTATTCAATAAGAAAGATGTGGCTCAATTGCAATTGTTGGAGAATGAATTGGCTAAATCAACTCAAGGTGATCTTACTATTTCCCAATTCTTCTTGAAGATCAAGAATCTTTGTTCGGAGATTTCTCTCGTTGATTTGGAAGAACCTATTCGGAGGCACGAATGGAGTGACTTATCATTCATGGGTTAAAGAGGGAGTATATTCCTAATGTTATGTCCATTCAAGGGTGGGTTATGCAGCCCTACTTGGTGGAATTTGAGAATCTCTTTGGTGGCTTGCTAAATTGGTTGGATTTTCAATTTGGGAAATGATGGAGATGATCGTGTATGCATGGTCTCCTTTCTAGAAAATCATTTTAAGAGGGAGTGTTAAATTGTTAAACTGTATTTTTTAAAAAGTAAATTAGTTTTTATGTTATTTTATCATGAGTGATGTAGTAAGGTTGCACTTGTAAGTTTGTGCAGTAGGAAGTTGTAAAACTACTAAGTGGTTAGTAGTTATTGTTGCAAGTGGGTAGTTATTATAGGAAATATGGTTGTAAAAACCTCTATTTAAAGAGAGGTTTGTGGTGAGAAAATTGGGTCACATGTTTTAAAGTTAATCTTGGGTGTCAAGATTGTAATGCTTTTGTGTAACCCTGGGTCACATGTATTAAGGTTAATCTTGGGTGTCAAGATTGTAATGCCTTTGTGTACGCCATGTTTTTGTTTAATGAATGTTTTCCTTCCACCTCATCTGGGTTGTTCTTCTTCTTTCTATTTGGTTGTGAGTCTCGGGCTAGTGTGACATTGTTACACTAATTGAGAAGTTGATTGTTTTGGTGTTTTGGCATCCGTCTTTCTCTACACGCTGGACCTTACTTAAGCTCTTTATCCACCCAAATCTCCCTCTCTAAGGCATGGCCCTTGCTGCAACTTTTGCTCTCTGTCTCCCCATTTAGTTTGGAAAACATGGCATGTCCGGTCTCTTTCTCTCTCTAATGAGAAGCTCGCTTACCCAACCCAAAGCTTGCTTTATCTCTTCAAGAAGCTCACTCTCCCAACTCAATGAAGCTCACCCAAATCTCTATCTCTCTTAAGCTTTTCCCAGTTCTCTCTCTCTCTCTCTGTCTCTCTCTCTATTTCTCCATCTAAGAAACTCGCTAAACTCGCCCAAAATAACAAAGTCCTCACCCCATTGTAATATGCTCCACTTCTCTTTCATGGTACCCGTTCAGTGGAATTCAATCAAAACCCCCATGAAAATTTGGGTTCCAACCATTAAGTAATTTAGGGCATTCTTGTCTAGGTTTTTGAGAATTTCAAAATGCAGCATGAGGAAAAAGCTTTTAAATATAGAATAAAAGTACTCCAACACAACTCAGGTATTTTATTTTTTCTAAAATTAAATATATTGAAACCCCCATGAAAATTTGGGTTCCAACCAGTAAGTAATTTAGGGCATTCTTGGCTAGATTTTTGAGAATTTCAAAATGCAGCATGAGAAAAAAGCTTTTAAATCTAGAATAAAAGTACTCCAACACAATTCAGGTATTTATTTTTTCTAAAATTAAATAGAAATATTAAAATTAAAATCTTAAAGTTATATCAATATGGGGTACTCTCATTAATTGGTTCTTTAATATGTATTTGCAAGTATTATGGCCTTTCATTTGTTGTCTTCTGTTTGGTTTGTTTAGATCTGATGATTAGGTTTTTTTCCATTTTGGCAAATTTTTCTTATTATGGTTTTTGTGAATTGATTTGATATGCAATTTCTTTTGTATTTGTTGCTGGGAAATTTTAATTTTCTGCTGAAAATTTTGAATTTATTGAATTTGTATGTATCATGGTAATTTGTTTCTCTTTTCTTGATTTTTCCTGTGTAATTCTGTTATTTTTTAATCAATTGACGGTGCGAATAATTTGAAGTTCTGGAATGTATTGCGAATTTAATATTGAAGAATTTTTGTATTTTGAATATTTTTGGTTATGGTTGTTGAGGATTTAATGCTTTTCGGTTTGGTGTTTTATTCCAAATCTTATCAGGCATTCAATTTTGGATGTCAAGCTCTATTAGATGTCCAAACATTTGGTTTTCATTTTTTTTTTTTTGGTTTATTTCTTTTTTTTTCGTGCAATTTGTTTGTATGCTGGAATTCTTTTAGTTTTTTCTCACTGTGCAACTACAAAAGCGAGAATTTGTTGAGTTACATGATTTTTCTGGTTTTTGATTTTGAACTCATTTGTTTGTTGTTACAATTTGTGTTCTAATTTTTGTTCATATCTATGATGGATTGGTGGGTAAGTCCATTCTGAAAATTTTTTCTCCTCAAATAGTCTTAATTTTAGTCATTCTGGGTTGTTTTTCTTTATTCTTTTATTTCTTCTAAATTTCTAAATTCATATGGAGGATTTCCTTTTAATTTTCCTTTCTGGAAACCCTATTCTTTTTATTTTTTTACTTTATATTGATATTTATTGTGCATCAATTTATCTTCTAAACTTTATTTATGACAATATTCAAATGTGCTTTTTTATATCTAATTTTAACAGTGTTTAACATTTTTTGCATTTATTTTCTTTTTTCTTTGGGTTTCATAATTATATTGAATCTTTGGAATATTTTTTGGTGTATTAGCATTTTATGAAGAGGATTATTATTATTATTATTATGTTTTTTTGCCTTCTTTACAAGAATTCGATGGTTCAAACTTTTCAATGGCATTGTGTTATGGAGTCATGATAAATTGGAAAGCGGTTCAAATGAATTTGGTGACTTATTTAAGTACTTTCATTTGCAATTTGAATAGTGAATATTGATGCACTTAACCTAATGGGGGCCACTATGAAGTCATTTATAAGGGCTAAGAGGCATTAGATGCATATATAGAGAGATGAAGCAACATATGTGTCATCAGAGTGGTCAAAAAATATTGAACTTTTGTTGGACATCGGTCAGGAATTTTTTTATTTTTTTTGATAAAGTTAATTATATTTCTATAAATATTTTACATGGAGTGTTTGAACCGAGAGTTCCCTTCATGGTAGGACTCTCCGTAAAAAATGGGTCAACCGACCGTATACAAAATGATCGTATCGATCTGTCCAAAGTTATACAAAATATACATTGAGATTACAAAAAATGGGCTTATAGTATTGCCCCTTTACACCGATGGTCTTTGATCTTAAGCAAGCAAAAAACTGGCCACGCGGTTATACCGTGATCTCTCTGTGGTCCAGATCGACATCGGTCAGGAATTGGTTCAAAGGATTTCTTTCGTGCTCTTGACTGCACTTGGTATTGGAGACTTGGTCTCATTTTCTAGGCAACTAGGCTGCAAAGGGATTTATTTGAAGAAGGAAAGAGAGATGAGAGAGAGTGTGTAAATTCATGGAGAGTGATGGTGGCCAAGATTTTTCTCAAATCTCCTACATTAGAGAGAGAGAGAGAGAGAGAGAGAGAGAGAGAGAGAGAGAGAGAGAGAGAGAGAGAGACGACGACGACGACGACGTAGTACGTAGTACGTAGTTAGTTAGTTAGTAGTACGTAGTACGTACGTACGTAACGTAACGTAACGTAACGTACGTAACGTACGTA